GTACATGTAGGTCGTGGACCAGAAATCTCAGGAAACACATACACTGTACACATCCTTTTCCCATGCTTCCAACTGGTCCTTCACATCTTTTCCATGGTTGCTCTTTTTCAACTTATCATGCATTCCAATAAGTGCTTTTGATTGTACGCTGAAATGCCGAGCCCAGCCCCTATCATTTTCCAAGCAATCAGGTTTAATTATTAAAACTTCATTGTCCATTGGGCATAATTACTTTAAGTGGCTCCATATTGTTTTCTAAAGTTGAACAATTGAATAACATGTCCATTAAGCAGATCAAAGTTCAGCATGTTCAGGGGTGAAATTGGGCTGTCGGCAGGTTTCAACTTTTGAAGGAGGTCCATATCAAGTGATGTTAGAGGCATTGGTCCAGGATTGAGTCCAATGTCTCCACAAACTCGAAGTGGTTCATAATGAATTGGTATACAACTGAAGGGTGCCTTTCCCATAGCCACAGTCAGGAGAATTACCAGAAAGGTTCTGCAACCAGTACCTACACTAAAGGTACATGTACATGTACTCCCTGTCGCTTCACTTGAAGAATGTTGACATTGAGCTCTGGATGAAAGTGCAGAGAAGAGGCCAACTCGGAGACACCATACTTCTAAAGTCACTCCCATTTTGATGGATGGTACCCAGCCCTGGATGGCAGTCAAAGTCTGTAATGGTAAATAATAATCATACTGCTAAAATAATAAAATACAAAAATAATAAAATTGATTATAAAATATAACACTCCCATTTGCACAAGAAAACACAACCCCTGTTGCTAAGAGTTCCTTCAGCCCAAACCAAGTGTTTTTAACAATCATTCTTTCCCACAAGAGCCAGGGATTGGAATTACAATAACTGACCAAGTTTAAGAAAGTTATGTCATGGCAGAATGAAAATGATGGGAAAATCTATGCCTGTACCTATCAGAAAATATTTCTAGAATAAAACAATTACTTCAAAAGATTTTGGAACTAATTTAAAAACAAACAAAAATAATTTTAAAATGTTTAAAAATGAAAGCAAATAATTCCATTCAATAAGCAGGGAGTGAGCATACATG